GTGGGGGGCAGGGAGCGGAGGAGGATGGATTGGGCAGTGAAGGGGTGTGAGTGGGAGGGCATGGAGGAGGTGTAGGGGGCAGGGAGCTAATGGAGATGGATGGGGCAGTGAAGGGGTGGGAGGGCATGGAGGGGGTGTGGGGGGAGGGGCAGGGAGTGGAGGGGGATGGATGGGGCGGTGAAGGGGTGGGAGGGCATGGAGGGGTAGTGGGGGGTAGGGAGTGGATGGGGATGGACGGGGCAGTGAAGGGGTGGGGGTGGGAGGGCATGGAGGGGGTGGGGCTGTGCACGGGGTGTTATCTGACCCAATCTCTGTCTCACGGTGCCAGACCGTGCCCACCCCCACTCCTGGGCTCTGGGAGGTGGGCGCTGATGCCAGATGGCCCCTCTGGGTCCCAGCTCGCACTCTGGGGCAGGAGCCAGTCACAGAGTGAGGGGCACGGGGGGGACGGGACACGTCCCTCTGGCAGGAGACTGTCACTGCTCACAGCCTCCCCAGGCACCAGGCTCTGGCCGGGTGGTGGCAGGACCCGTGTCCCATCTCCTGCCTGGGTGCTGGCGCGGGGCTGTCACGCCGTCACAGGCTTTGGTCCCCAGGCCACGTCAGGCAGCACAGGCTGGGCAATGCCCAGGAAGTGGGGGTCAGATGCCCTGGTGACGGGCAGGCCGACGGGGCAGTCTCCCACCCCCTTGTCCCAGCCAGTCCAGCTGGGCGCCAGTCCTGCGGTACCTGGTTATTGTGCGGCATCCCATACAGGGCCTCCACCAGGTCTGCCGCCCTCTTCAGCAGGACTTCCTGGGGGGAGAGAGGGGGCTCAGAGGGGGCCAGCGGGGGCTCCGCCCGGCCTCCCCAGGCTGGTAACACTCAGCAGAAGGAGAGTTCTCCAGTCACCTCTCAACGGCGCCGCACCCCCGCAGCACGCCTGGCGCGTTAATCCACGGCCTCTTCACAGCGCCACCCCCAAAGCCAGATGCTTGGCAGGGCCCTCGCCCGCTCACCCCCACCTCCGCAGTGCACGGTGCCCATCACCACTGGGACGGGATGGCCCGGCCATGCCCTGCCTCTGCCCAAATCCACGCGCATGCCCATTCCCACCTCCACAGCCCCACTTGCCTCTGGGCATCACCCCACTGTGACGCTGCAGAGCAAGTGCCAGCTCCTGCCAAGGTCCCCGTGTCTCAGCTGAACAGTGACCAATTCCCGGCTGGAACCAGTCTGGAACCAGCTGAAAACGGGCACGAGGGGGAGGAGAATGTGTTTGGTGTTTTAGGGAATGTTTGTGAGCTGCTGCCTGCATTAATCTCACTGATCCCAGCTGTATCCCAGGTAGTCCCGTGTGAGCATTTGTACTGCGAGTGTGTAACTCACCAGCCGGGAGAGGGACAGGAGTGTGGGAAGTGCTGGTCTCCAACAGGTGCCGTGTCCTGCCCGACACGAGTCGTGCAAGTGGATTCCTCCCGTTGGCTGAGTTCGCAGCTCAGAGCACGTGGGGAAAGGGGGATAAAACCCCCTAACAAGAGGGAATTGTATCTCTATGCGGCTTGGACTTTGGGGGCGAGAGACCGGAGCGCCCAAGGGGACGTCTGCTGGACGTCCATGGTCAGGCTGTTACGGGCCCTGAGGAGTTTGCACTTGGTAATTGGTTGGTGAAATCGGAGCACAGATCTCCCAACCAATGTGGGGCTTGTGCCCTGGTTCCTGGCAGCCTGCCCTGAGATTGGTTCTCACGCTCCTGAGTCCCGGCAGGGCAGCCTGACGCGACCCCCAACATCCAGGTGCCACAGATGCTCCTGAACGTGCCCCAGGGTTCATAGAATATCAGGGTTGGAAGGGACCTCAGGAGGTATCTAGTCCAACCCCCTGCTCAAAACAGGACCAATTCCCAACTAAATCATCCCAGCCAGGGCTTTGAGGTTCCCCTATTCTACGCCGTCTTTCCCCTCCTTACGGCTATTTCGATCTGCCACTCCTGCCGCGCCACGCTCCAGCAGGGCAGCCTCCAATGGGGAGAGGTCTGGTCGAACCTTACCTCTTCTGTGTGACAGATAAGCTGCTTTCTGGCTCCAGCGATGGCACTGCGCCCCCGCTCCATGCCAGCCTAGCTCTGCGCAGTGCGGGTCAGGTTTTCACAGCCTGCACCTGCACTGCGCCAAGCCCAATGTTAGCAGCATCAGGGCAGGAATCAAAGGGTTTGCTGAGATCAGGGCTGGCTGAAACTGGCTCTTTAGACAAAATCTTTCTCCCAGGCCTGGGTCCAGGCCTCCTGCTCCGGTTCCCCTTTTTTGTAGGGTCTGTTCTGGGGTCACAATGTCACTAAACCCCTTTACAAACCTCCGGTGATAGCTGGCCAGACCTGCTGCTTGGTCTGTGGGGCAGGCCAGCTCCGCATGGCTTCCACCTTCAAAGGGTCGGGGTGAACCAACCCACTGCCCATCCTGCGTCCTAGGCAAGGTACCTCTGCGGCCCCCAGCTTGCATTGAGACACCTTGCCAGTGAGGTTGGCTTCTCCACCCCTCTGCAATACAGTTCCCACATGGCTCAGGTGGTCTAAGAACAGCTAAGCCGTCTGCAGAGGCCCTGGAGAAGGTCTGTGATCCCCGCAGGACAGCCCCTCCCCCACCGCATTAATGAACCTCCACCCCCGAGAGACCAGATTCCACTGGGAAAACTGACCTTTCCTGGCCACAGCATTCAAGGGAATTTGCCAATAGCCACGAGTCAAATCCAGAGTGCTTGCATTAGCAGGGCCTCTCTCCGCGGTGTGGGGTAAGGGCCAGGCTCGCCTTTACTCTTCTAAAACCCATCTCCTGGTTTTATCCCTGTGAGGTACCATCCCGACAGGAGATGCCCAGGGGCTTCATGCTCCACCTCGTCCTGAATCTGTCGGATTTCTCCGATGGCCCGGCATGCTCCTCGCGGGGCAGCGGGGGCCCTGCAGTGTCAGTGGCATGCGCTGTTCTGTCAGTTAAACCTGGCCGCTTGGAAAATACCTGCCAGCAACGTCTCCTGCTTTTGGGGTGGGCTCAAACCCTGCCACATCTCTGCGCTCTCCAGAGACATCTCTCCCTTACCCACCCTGACCAAATCTATTCACGGGGCAGGAAATGTTCCCACGTTCCCCTCATCGCCCTTTCGGGGTCTACTCTCCATCTGCTGACATGTCCCGTTTGCATGGCCACGGGGCTCCCCTACATCCCTGCCCGCATTCACGCTCTCCAGCGCCCCCAAAGTGCCTCCAACAATCCTGCATCTTGTCCTTCCTCACTGGAATCAGCGCTGGCCCCACGGCATCACCTGTGCCCAAAGACGTCTCTCCAGCCTGCCCGCCAGCCCCAGCCTCCTTCAAGGTTCTGACGCACGGGGCCATCACAGCCTTTACATTCGCTATCACACTCCCCTACTGTCCTGTCTCCTCTGTACCACCCTCCCAAGACCGGGGTCCCCACACCTGTCTCCCCAAAGGAGATTGAAAGGGGCAAACCCCATAGACTCTTGGGTAATGAGAGCAAGGGCTGAAGGTGATCATGAGAAACTGTTTGATCTGGTGGCCAAGGAGCCATTGTTGGGGTAGTTACGGAGGAGGTGAAGGCAGCCGTGTGCGACAAAAACCATCCACAGTTTTAGAGGCTGCAGAAGTTGCTGATGAATATAGAATCCTAGACTCGAAGGACTAGAAGGGACCTCGAGAGGTCACCTAGTCCAGTCCCCTGCTCTCAGGGCAGGACTAATTATCTAGACCATCCCTGACAGGTGTTTGTCCAACCTGCTCTTAGAAATCACCAATGACGGAGATTCCACAGCCTCTCTAGGCAATTTATTCCAGTGCTTAACCACCCTGACAGTTAGGAGGTTTTTCCTGATGCCCAACCTAAACCTCCCTTGCTGCAATTTAAGCCCATTGCTTCTTGTCCTGTCCTCCGAGGTTAACGAGAACAATTTTTCTCCCTCCTCCTTGTAACGTTTTATGTACTTGAAAACTGTTATCATGTCCCCTCTCAGTCTTCTCTTCTCCAGACTAAACCAACCCAATTGTTTAAATCTTCCCTCATAGCTCATGTTTTCTAGACCTTTCATCATTTTTGTTGCTCTTCTCTGGACTCTCCGATTTGTCCACATCCTTCCTGAAATGCGGTGCCCAGAACTGGACACAATACTCCAGCTGAGGCCGTATCAGCGCTGAGCAGAGCGGAAGAACGACTTCTTGTGTCCCGCTAATACATCCCAGAATGATATTTTTCATGATCACCATCGGCCCCTGCCCCCATTATCCACTGTCTCATAAAATCACCCATTGTGTGCACCTATTCAGGTGAGTGACCCTGTCAAACACTCCAATGTTTCTATACGTCACTGAAGAGGGCTCAGGGGTGAGCTCCAATCTTTCCAACACATTTTCTTTACAAATCTTGTCCACCTCAGCATCGCCCTGCTCCAGATCGTTACAAGCTTGTCTGGCTTTCCCAGCTGATCTGGTTAAGAGGACATGCATGTGCTTGTCCTCTGGGACACTGCGCGCCCCACACAGTCTCTCTTCTGTGCAGTCGGGCAGACCTTCTCCCACTCCCTGGTGCTGGGGGTGTGTGTGTGATCACTGGTTAGAGAAACTCCGTTCGCTGTTCCAGTCCTTTGGGCTGCACTGCTGGAGCTCCCGTCTGCCTCTGGTGGGGTCTGCCACTGTCTGGGCTGCTTCGGTCTCCCTGACCCGCAGTTCCCCCATCAGTTTCTGGTGCTCGTGTTCTTCCTGGGCTCTTGGGGGTTGCAGTTGGGCCAGTTCCCCTGTGGGGGGCTCCTCTGTCGTATCTGGGGCTGGAGGGTCCTTGGGCTTCACCACCTCTTCTTCCCCGGGGGCCTGGTCCAAGCTCTCAGCGCCTGATCTGGGGTTTTCCTGTTATGGGATATTCCCCTCTGCAAACGGATCTGTTCCAGGTCTTTCCCCGCCGTGGGTCGCTCATTGTGTCTATTCTGTGACCTGGGCAATTCTCAATACCAAGTTTACACTTTTAACAGTGCTGGGGTCCTGCTCTGTAAACGTCACTCATCTGGGGGATGTGACGCCTGCCACAGCTACGCGGGGGTCAGGCTGCCCTGCAGGGGCTCCAGAGCGTGAGAACCAATCTCAGGGCAGGCTGTCAGGAGCCAGGGCACAGAGCCCAAACGGGGTGTGAGTTCTGTACTTCGATTTCACCAACTAATCATCAAGGGCAAACTCCTCAGGCACCATAACAGCCTCAAGCCAGTCCCTTGGGTGCTCCGATCTCTCTTGCCCCCCTGGTGAGCTGCCTCGTGACAGCTGGTCCCTCTCACCAGGAATCACAGCACTATTCAGCTTACTTCCCGTCCCAAAGGAACAGTCACTTACCCCAGGTCAGTTGCACCTTAGATCTCACACCAGAGACACAATAAACTATCTAACGATTAACTAGGAAAAGGAAATGAGAATTATTTACAAGGTTAAAGCAGGTAAACATACACACACACAAGTTCCAATCTTAAGCTTCAAAAGGTAACACAATCTTCTATAATAAACAAGCTCTTTATGTCCTTTAGGGCTAACCCGGGCTAAGCACTGGGGATCTTTTGCTTATGCCGAGAAACCTCGACCCCCAGAGTCCAAGCATCATAAAGATCCCGTTCCTTCTTGCTAGGGGTTTCTATTCCTCGCCCCCCCGCCCCATGTGCTCTGAGCTGCAAACTCAGCTGATGGGAGAAATCCACATCTTCACGGAGGGAGGAGGGCAGAACAACCAATGTCTTTTGTCCTCGTTAATGTCCCACAATAGTCCGTCTGGTGTCGCCGGCCCTTCCCTGTGGGCCAGGACGTAACACCTGTTGGAGACCAGCACTTCACACCAGTTACTGTCTCTCTCCTCTCTGGTGA